GAGCTGCCAGGCTCAGTTGCTCCAGTTCTTTAAATCCTTGTCGACCTATGCGACGGGCTCTCATTGACGAGAATGGCAGGCCGACGGAGAGCACTCTGCAGTTTCCCATGGCACTAGGCTCTAGCGCCGCTTACCATTTGCCTTCCGTTCCATCCGTTCTCTTGGCCACTCAACCATCTCGACCCCGAACCCTCCATCTTCGCTCCGTTCATCGCCTCGAGCCCGATGAGCATGCCCTACCATCTGGCCCAGGACCCTTCAGTGGTCGTTGGGAAACCAATATCAACGCACTACACGTACGGGCCTCGTCGATCACCTCGGCGCCTCTCCCGCTTTCGGCACCTTCAGACGTGTCATCACCGCATTCACCCAGCCAACATGAACAAACTCAACCCAAGGACAAGGAATCAAGAGACGAACAGCCGATGCCCGTCGATTCGGCCGTCATATCTCTCGCATGGTGACATGTTCAATCGCCCGTTGCTTTTCACATGCATCGTGTTTGACTCGGCCTATCGCCCTTGCCCACGACTTCAACCTTGCTGCAGCTTGGGACAGGTGTCTGATGCGGAATAGCTACCTGGGGGATGCAGAAGTTTGCCCTCCGCTTCTCTTCCTGTCGGGACACGGATTGCGCCCACGGATTCTCTCCAGCCGTCATGGCAAATGATATTCAGGGCTGTTTGTCTCATCCCGCCCGCCCTTCCCCCGCCATCTTGGCCCGTTCATCACTTGCCCATCCCTACCCAACCTAGACCAACAAGCTTCCACCATCGATCATGTCACTCTCCATCAGAAACTCCTACCCGAGTGCAACGCCCTCATCCAGTGACCGAACGCTTGTTGAACTTGCCCGAGAAATAACCCGATCAGCCTGATTATCATTCGCTGCCTGCGTAACCTGTCAATACTCACATGCAGCCAGTTCCCAAGATGAGCAAGACGCTGCCCCATGTTGTCCATCAAACAGCAAACGCGCCCCGGCATCTCGCATTCAGACACCGGACGAGCTTGCTTCGTACATTTGCGCAGACAGACGGTCATCGACTAACGTTTAGCCAGGTGTGCGCGCGCCAGAGAGTCATCATGCACCACCCCGAATCTAGCGACGCCATCCCACACCTCACACGAGTCTCACAACTGCCTTATCGCTGCGCTGTGATTCGCTCATTTGTACCCCAACCCTGCGTCATCCAACGCCGGCAAGGTCGACTGGCGTTGGTCTTAGTGCGGGTGGGAACCGGGATGGTGGTGGTAACTTTTCCGCAAGTCGAGAAGCTCTGAGTCGCCCGCCATACCAAAACCAACCCTACAGCGATATGTTTTGCGGGGTAAAACCATCGATGGACGATGGCACGCATGCAAGGGACCTAACGTTTGTTTCTTCGCTGCCAGGACCAGCCATCAGCTGACTTTCGTCCAGCTCTGGGCATGCGCGCAAGATCCCATCCAACTCAAATCTCATGCACAGTTGTCGTTGCCGTCGCACAAGACACGAGCGTGCAAAAGCGTGGGTAGTAAAGGCTTCCAGATCGTCCGGTTGCCCAAGATACTGCGGTGGCACAGACGAGAGACCTCCAACATTTCTCGACACCGCCAAGGCCCCAAGACACGGCTCCGGATCTCAACGGCGCCGTCTAGCACGCCCCCCTCTTAACCCAAACCTGCCAAAGGTGCCTCACACTTCTTCACCAAAACCTCCCGTAGCCCGAGCGGCGGTCTCCCAACCCGTCTGTCCCGGTTCTTCCAAAGGGAGCCTGTCTCACGCGTTATTCCAACACCTCACGTGCCTCCCTGTCTGGCCTATCCGTGACCAGAAGCAGCATTCCCATGTGGCCCCGTCAGCGCCAGTCCAGGCAGGGTTGTAATTTGTTGACACAGTCAGGAGAGCCCATCAGGCTGTTGTCTTGTTAGGGTCGCATGGTAGGCAGACATCGGGCACACGCGGACAAATGCGCAGCCTCAACATCACCTGGGTGTCTTTTTGCAGTTTCCCGTCAACCCCGCAGCCTAAATACGGCCAGGTCTGGACTCTCTTCTTTTAAGCGGGTGTCAAGGTCTCGTTCTCACGCTGGCTTGACACGGGACCGCCAGCCAAGCCGCCCCCTCCCCACAACGGCCGGACTCCGGGGCGCGGCGCGGGGGCGGGGCAGAACGGTGCACCACATGTTATCTGCCATATTGAACAGGTGTTTGTCTTGTGTGATTTCTTGCATATGGGATTCTGTCCGAGTGCTCATACGCAAGTGGCAGTCTGCTAGATTTACTAGACGGGTATTTGGCAGCCCGTGGCGTCAAGTTGTGAGCGTCTGTCCGTCGGTTGCCTTGCATCCGCATTGCAGGGGGCGCCACATTGAGATATTGAATACTTTGCAGCGCTCAAGGGAGTTATGGTGAACTTACTGAGGCGGTATTCCTGTGTTCCTTCCAAGAAGATCCGTCTGTGACCGCCGGTTGAAGGCCCGCAAAGTTGCCCATCACAGACATCACCGGAAGTGACAAATCTTGGACCTCATGCAGCAATGACCCAGCCCTTGTAGAAGGATTGATCGCTATAAAGTCCACCAGCTCGACACCTATCGCCGCAATCTTCTCCAAGATTCATCATGTATTCCGCCCTGTGGGTGTGGTGCGTTGAGGGAAGTACAGCCTGGTCAGCTTGTCGAGCGGCGGGGTCATAACGGACGAGCCTACGCTCCTAATGCATAGTTGTCGTGCCATCTCGACTTCTGCCAGCTGCCCCGACCCCGGTATTTGCCGTTTCTCCTAGGATGGTATCGAAGATACGCACGCAGTGACCGGAGACGACACTAGGTAGGTCTCGGTTGAGGGTGATAGACTACTGGTGTTCTTCTAAAGGAGAAGATACGGTCAAGTAGGTAATAGATGTGTAAGGGAAGGCCCAGTACAATCTCAACCTGGCAGCCATGATTGGCATGAGAATCATCAGGGCCAAATGCGGCGAAGGTTATGCCCATTCATGCCCCGAAGAAGTAATGGTATTATTGTAGTTTGCTGCGGGATGCTGCGTACAGGTCAATGAGGCTATCTTTGAAGGGGATGTGATGTCCGCTGCTCTAACTATATTTATCGTGTCTATGCCGTTGCTTGTCTATGCCTCTTATGGTCCGATATGAGCGGTGCAGGTCCTTGCCAGTATGCCACGAGCTGTGCGTCTGACCCTCTGAATAGCACTTATGCAAAGGAGCCATATAAAGAAGCCAATGGGACGAGTCTCTGTGATGTTGCCGGACAGAATGAATCCAGGCTTCACCGGCGCTGATTGATTTCGAAGTTTTTAAACCTGCGTCATGCGGTCTTTGTCATTAATGCTCGTACAGAAAGTTGGTCCGTCTTCACTGCGGAGGTTGTTTGTATGTCCCTGAGGATGCGTCCCATGTGGGTACCAGGGATGAATACACCACGAGCGACGAGACCACGGGGTGAAGCTGGGAACGAATGCTAGCCGTGGATAGCATAACTGAGATTGGGCCTTAATGAAGCAGTGGTATCAACATGAATCTTTCGGGGGCAGTCGAGTCAAACACCTTGGAAGATCTAAAGAGGCCATTGGAGGCTAAAAGCTTTGCTCTTGCTGTGAGCAGCGTGTGGTTTTATATTGGTTGATATTCCCACTGTGCTGGAATGACACGTAGATAGTTGATACCGAAGAGTTCAAGTTAGATCTTGGAATTGTGATTATAGATGAGGCGATTGCGGGGATCGTTTTCGTTGGCACAAACAAAAACGAGTTGGCTATTCTCGGCAAAAGCTCCCGTCCTGAGATTCCTCGTCAAGGTCGACATGTCGTACCCCAAGTGGTGAGACTGAATTGGATACTTCTGAGCACCAACTGATCGTCATTGGTCATTTCTAGATGTTTATTAATACTTTAATAAAGTGAAGAAGAGCCGGGTAGCCGTTATCGAGGAGAAGATGATTTCAGTGCACGACTGCGTCACTGGGTCTTTGAGAACCGCTACTGTCTTGCTTCTCTGAACGGTTCCATCACATTTTGGTTTGCACATCATTTGTGTTGAATGAACCTTTTATTTATGAGCTTGCACCGTCGTAGTTATGTCTTGTTCGCAGACGCATAAGTGAGCAACATCATATCCCTTGCTGATGCCGCGTCGCGCTTCTCTTCGATATTAAAGGCTCCGTATGGGGGAAGACAAAAAAAAAAAAAAAAAAAAAAAAAAAAAAAAAAGAACACAAGACAATGATGCAAAAGTTTGAAGCGGTGTCTTCTCTAGAAGGTTAATGCCGTTGTAACGTTCATCAGCCGTGTCTAAGCAGCTAGCCACGTCGATGGATCCTTCAATTCGAGAGACACGCCGTCCTTGGTATGTTTGCCGCGAATACTATCAAGTCGAAGGAGCTGAACAATGGCAGCAACTTTGGTGATATTAATCAAGTCGTCGGTCACGCGGAGATGGGTGTCTTTGCTGGTTTGACCGTTCACTGACAATACTCATCTCGTGATCAAGCCCACCTTCGGGTTCAACAGAGTCGGAACCGATCCCACTCACCAGAGTTTGTTTGGGAGAAACCAAATCTTTATAGCAGTCTCGCTCTTTCATACTGCCAACAATTACCTGCGGGTAAAAGCCTGGACTGCCACATGCTTTGTGTTTCAACCTTGCCTATTTCATATACGTAGTACGCTTCGCTCTCTGCCTGGGACAACTTTCCCAGTAACTAAGAAATGGTCTCTGCAAGTTTGGGATGACGCTCTGAAGTTGATCACCCAAATCATATGGCCCGTGTATAGTCGTGCTCAATGGTTTGGTCCTTCTCTCTCCTGTTAGTTGAAAATAGAGATATTCGCGGTCCTCCCTGGCTCTCTTTCCAGCATATTGGTTTCGTCGGATAGTTATTAAAAAAACCACAACTTCGATGAGAAGTTCCGCAATCCCATTACTCCCTCTCAGACTTAAATCAAGAAGAGTTTTGTGGAGGATGCCAGCGTCTCAACTCGATTAACAAGACTCTATTCTCTAGTTGTAGTATTGCGTGAAATCATGGCTCAAGCCTGTTGAGGCCCTTGATAACTGCGCGGCCACCTCAGGGTTATGCTTGCTTTCGTTGATCATCTGCAAAAACGCGTCCTCCTCTAAAATCTTATCGGGGTCCCTTTTGCAGAGCCTCCGCATGTTTTCTGTTGAAATCGGATCGGTGAATTCGCGATATAGCTTCCTTCGAACATCGCTGTACCGGTCCAGGATGGACTCCCCTGCTTTACCCGTAACGATTCCGCTCAAGCAGTCATACAAACCCCCAACATCGAGAATCCCTCCCGTCAACCCCAAGCCACCAAATGGATTGCATACTGATTCGAAGTTTTAGCATACAGGTCTTAGAGAAGTATTGATGATCCGACTTACGGTGCGCTGCATCACCCGCGAGGAGGATCTTGTCTTGTCGCAGCGATGGTGCCAGGCGCTGGTGTATTTTGTAAGGACTGAAGTTGACACATCTCCACTCGTTGGCCTTCGGATTTCCTGGAAGCATCACCTCGAACTTCCAGGCTTGTCGTTCCAGATATTCGGTCTTGGTGAGTCCTGGTACTTCCCCGTACGTAAATCGCCACAGGCCGTCGATGGAAATCCTCGCTGCCATGTACCTACAATCATGATCAGCCAATGCCAGCGAGCTGTGAAAGGATCTGTCGGCCATACCAGTGCTCTCGGCTAATGATAAAGTTGCTATCGGCGAACCCGTACTTGTCGAATGGATAGTAAGTCTGTGAAATGTCAACTTAATCAGCGCAGACACCCGATGGCAGGACACGCTCCTCCACTTACGTTCGTTGCGATAATCTGCTCATCCCAAGTCCATCCCGGAAACTCCATTTCGCCAAAGAGCGATTTACGGACTTGGCTATTGGCGCCATCGCAGCCAATGACATAAGCAGCTGCCAGCGTTCTCATCGTGCCCTGAGCGTCTACCTCCACGATGGCTTGCTCCTCGTTCTGGCTCACATGCGTCACCCGGTGACCCCAAAGAATACTGGCTTGGGGCTGCTTCAGTAGATGATCATGCAAGATCTTGCCTAGTTTGTTCAGCGGTAAGCAGATCAATGGATGCTTCAAAGAAGTTGTCAAGGTGGTTGTTGGAAGCTCGGCGATGACCTCCCCGTCAGGTTTTCTCCAAGTAACACCGTGAGGGATGAAACCCTGCGCAAGAATGTCCGAAAGAACTCCTGCTCTGTCGAGCTGTTCTACGGCCTCTGGGCCGTAGTGAGTTGCCCTAGGTTGGTTGTCGAGTTCGTTGCCGGCATCGACGAGCTGTACCTCCAGCCCAGCTTTGGCGAGGAGAAGGGCTAATAAGAGACCGCAGGGGCCTGCACCCACGATGATGGCGAACGGCTGGGACATGGCGAAGATGCCTTCAAATGCTAATGTGACGAAAGTCAACTGCTGGGCATACACGTGAGCTACTAGGAGGCTGGTTCAGGACCCGCAGTGCCACGGTGCCAGGCATCACGCATCTTATATCTAGGCTACTTCATGACTGCTCGCCGCGTTGCTACATATTGACTTTAACACGACTTCTCGGGTAAGGTCTATGCTGAGTGACGTTCACAAAAATTCTGGCATCATGTTGTAAACTCTTGCCGAAACCTGGGCTGCAGCAAGGTGGGCGTCTTCGTACTCCCGTCAAGGCATCCCACATACCCCACACGGCATTTGTCCCACCATCCCACATTGCCTAATTAGGACATTCTGACCAGCCCACATCATGATGCCGCTGGACAAACGGATTCCCGAAACTCCATCTCGATGAAGGAATTCATGCATTCGTGATGTCATATGGAATTAGTTTTAGGCAAGAGTCCGAGAAAGGATTATAGATACATATGATCGATGTATATCCTTCCTATTATCTGTTCAAGTTCGATCAGCAAGTAGTTAACGTTCTTCCAACATGTCTCCTCCAACCACCCAAGTCCCAAATGAGAGCGCAGATCGACGCTGGTTTGAAGATGGGCATGAGAAGCATCACGTTCCCCTGGCACCAGCCGTGCCCATCGACCCTACCGTCAACACCTGGTCCCGCTTCGGCCCTACCTTCGAAGCCTATGAATACTCAGGCTGGATCGACGAAAGCATTTCCTGGAAAACGGACTGCTACATCGGGGATTGGTCGCCGCTTCTGAAAGCCCGCGTCAAAGGCCCAGAGGCCCAGGCCTTCTTCGAATTCATCTCTACCAATCGGTGGCCCAACTTCAAGCCGGGACAGGCGAAGCATGCTATCTTCTGCCAGGACAACGGCTGCGTGGTCGGCGAAGGCCTTGTCCTCATGCTCGCCAAGGATGACTTCATCTTCACCAGCGGGCCTGGCACTGTTTGGCTGGCGTACCAGTTCCAATTCGGAAGGAAGAAGTTCGATGCTACGCTTGAGCTGGTCACCGACGATTGGTTCCTCCTCCAAGTTCAAGGTCCTCGAAGCGCAAAACTTCTCAATGAGGTTACGGCCGAAGGGGTTCAGGACATCGAGTTCATGCACTACAAGGAGCTCTCCATAGACGGCACGAAGTTCCTGTGCTTGCGACAAGGCGTCTCGGGCGAACTAGGGTTCGAGCTTTGGGGCCCTGCGGAAGATGCTCGGAAGATTTACAGCTCCATTGTAGATGCTGGCAAGCCACATAATCTCCGCCAGCTCGGTGCCCGTACCAAGATGGTGAACCATGTAAGCAATCCCTTTGGTTTCTCATCTGAAACTCTCGAATGCCTTCTTTAACACTGTTTGCCATCGCAGGTCGAAGCAGCGTTTGCGACGCCAGGCGCCGATTTCATCCCAGCTGTCCACGCGCCCTCAAGCAACAAGGAGCTTGCCGAGTTTCGACGATATGCCAAGTCGATTGGCTTCGACTTCGACTTACACGTGTCCAAGGCCAGCGGTAGCTATGGAACCGATCCCGTGCTGTACCACAATACCCCATTCGATCTGAATTGGGGTTGGCTTGTGAATCTCAATCACGACTTTATCGGGCGTGACGCGCTTGCCAAGCTGAAAGCCGACCCTCCGCAGAAGTTGGTGACACTTGTCTGGAACAAGGACGACGTTGCGGACGTCTTCGCATCTTTATTCCGTCCCGAATCGTATGAGTATATGGAAATGCCTCGCAACTTGCTCGGCAACGTTGTTGGTAGCTCCGTCTCGGTTGGAAGCCAGACCGTCGGATATGCTGTTTCCCGATGCTACAGCTACTGGTTCAAGGAGATGATTTCTCTTGGCATCATACTCAAAGAGCATTCTTCACCGGGAACGGCAGTATCGGTGAGATGGGGTAGCGAAGGCTCGAAGCAGAAGATCATCAAGGCTGTAAGTTTGTTCACAATGTGTTCTGGTGCATTTAGTTGTCTCACATTTGCATACAGATCGTCCAACCTGCCCCTTACAAAGAGGACAAGAGACGCTGGAAGATTGAGTAGAAGGTTACAGCTCAACATGGGAGCGGGTGCAATTCTCATAGAAGTTGCACATGATCTCGCCAGCAAAACATCTGCAAGTATCCCGTCGGGAGCTATATTAGTTGCCGGACCAAAATTAGTTTTCAGTCGTACTGCACCTGTTAGTGGACTGCAGCTACCCTGGAACCCCGCATGATCGCTGCGATGGTCCCATAAATAAAAGTCCGATGCCGTCGCCCTCGGATACTTGCCAATCTCCGTCGCGGGCCGTCACGGGAATTAAAATCCTGTTTGTGGGGGTTGAACTGGGTTTACATGCACATGGCGCTCATTAGGAATTGGATGCTCTTCCTTATCCTCTTTTGTCTTTGAATTGTTCGTCTTGACTGTTCGTCTTACTCAGCACCCAGCCACTGACTGTCATCTGAAGCGATGACATCCAAGACAGCGCCTGGAACGTCGGTCATCTCATTTGCTAAAGAAGGCACCGCGGTACACAAGTGCCGCGTTTGTTTCAAGCCTTTCAAAAGGCGAGAACATCGAAATCGCCATGAGCGCAGCCGTCAGTCTTTCATTCGCCTAAAAGTTTGATGCTCTTTCGCTTCAGCACTGACTGTAGGCGCAGACACCCACGAGAAGCCCCACATATGCCGATTTTGTGGCCGTCGGTATGCTCGCAGGTAACACCATTGAATTCACGATTCACGAATGTTGTCTGTCCCCTAGATACTCATTTCCACTAGCGACCTCGTGACACGTCATGAGAAAACTCTCCATGCGGACCAATGGCAGCCGGTCCGCCGTGATCTCACGCAAAGTTCAGCCTCCGAAGGCAGAGACGAACATGGCTTGATGGGCAATTCGTTTGCCGCCACCAATGAAGAAACACGGACCGATGTTGCAATCACCAACACCCCGGACAACTCGGCGTCAATATCGGGGATTGGGACGACCACCGCGCATGCCATAGCAACACCGATTGACTTCGGCTCCTTCGACATACACGATGTCAATTTTGATACTTACAATGATTTATCCCCTAGTTTCTTCGACCCTTTCCTCGGCGATGTTTTTGATTCCTTTGCACTCCCAACTCTCGATGACCCCAGGATAGGGATGAACGCAGAGAATGCGTATCTCGAGCCTTCACTTGCTTTGGGAGAGACTCCCGTGCCCCCAGAAACGCCGAAAAAGGAACATTGCTTGCCGCGAATAGCAAGAACAAGAGCCACGGCGAAACCAAGCATGATCTTTACCGAGGAAATGAGGGCACACTGCGTCAATGATCTGAGATCACATCTTACACCTGAGCGACTCGGAGACTTCCAAATGCCTGACACAGCCTGTTTGCAAAAGTGTCTGAACTCTTATATCGAATCATTCCATGTTCACTTCCCTTTTCTACATCTTCCAACACTCAGCCTCGAGACGGCTCCAAGCCCCCTGACACTGAGTATATGTGCAATAGGTGCACTTCACCGACTTGACAGGAAGCTCGCTGCGTCGCTCTATCTAACGGCCGAGTCAATTCTGTCCATCGTGGAGTTTGATATTCTACGCAACTGCTCGGCATTGCTGCAGGACTGGGCAAAGCCCCGAGATATGCCAATTTCGGCATCCGCGCCACTTCCACTGGCTCAAGCCCGCTTGCTACTTGTATTCTTTGCTTCTTTCAGTGGAGAGCCGCAGCTGATACGACAGGCTTTGGTTGGTTGCGGGTTCCTCTCCGCCGTAAGTGCTTCTAGTGTCTCCCAAAATATCCCTCGGGTTTGCGCTCAACGTTATAGGAATTCCGGTCAAGAATGTCAAGAATGAGGCCTGTTTCCGCAGCCACAGAACTATCGGACTGGCGCACCTGGGTTGAACACGAGTCAACAAAGCGGTAGGGATTTTGTCCATGTTCCAAGCCCTGTGCCGATGAGTTGACAATATGAAGCTTGATGTGCAGCAGCATGATTCTCGGTAACTTACTTGTAATTACTTACGGGATGGTCCCGGGATTTTCTATCCTCGAGGATGCCGACATTGGAATACCTGCCGATGATGCCCTATGGGAAGCAAAGACAGTGTCGGACTGGGAAACTCTAGCGGCAAATAAACCGCTGTCATCCCATCTAGGTCTTCGCGAGGCAACTTCCGCTATCTTTGGTCAGACGCCTCTTGAAAAGAAGTCAGATGTCTGTTGGGAGTGGTCGCCGTTCGCTGCCTCGGTGGTAATGCACAGCGTTGCTATCGCTATCTGGTACCTTACTCAAGGGCAGCAAGTATGCCACAGCGCGATCCGTAACTCAAAGGAGAGGCACGACGCAACCCAAATTGCGGCAGCTCTCTCCAGATGTCGAGACTTGCTCGCAGGAGTTGCAGACGCGCACACTGGTACCGAGGGTACTTGGAACGAAGCCGAAAGCCCCCTGCTGTTCAATGCATTTGCCATATTACGCGTCTCGTACGGGAGGGCATTCATCAGGTTCCATTCCCTGGACCGCTCTCTACTGTTCAAGGAGAGTAGTCAGGTCATGCTGTCGATCTTGAGACGCTATTTCGAAGCTGTACAAGATCGAGACCCCTTTATGACCATGGCTGTCAGCTGTGCTCTTGAGGGATTCGCCATACCAATACGAGCTGGCATTCTGCTCATACAGCGCAGCATCCCGTCCAAGCCGAATCAATTAATTAATTAATTAACTAATTAAATTGAGGTTATTTAGGCAGTTAATTAATTAAGCCTAAGATGCTAAAAGCTTAGCTAGCTTAAATAAGCTAATATTACCTAGAAAAAAGAAAATCTGGCCTCTAGATTAATTAGAATTTTTGAAATATTTTTTGAAAAATAAAAAAAGCCTACTTAGATATTTTAGTACCTAGCCTTATTCTAATTACTTGAGGTTATAACTTTTATAACTTTTATACTTAAAGTGGATAACTTAAGCTAGTTTTAAACTAATATCTCTATAATTACCTATATAGTAGACTTACTACTAGCTTATTAGGTCCTATTATAATATATCTCTAAAAAAAAAAAGGGTAAGTAGTTACTAATACTAATTTAGTGATACCTTTAGGCTAATAGGTAGTAAAGTAGGGCTAAGTACTTCCTAATAGTAGGGTTAGTACTATTAGTAACTACTAGAAGTATTAGAAATATATCTTTTATTATACTACTAGATTAATATATTTTTAGCCCCCTTACTAAAGCTTAAAAAAAGCCTATTTTTAACCTCTATATTAGCTTTTAAAAATAACCTTTTTTTAATATTACTACTTATATTACTATTACTACTACTACTACTACTACTACGCCTCTATACTTTAAAGACCTATTTATATATACCTCTTAATATCTTTTTTAACTTCTTACTAGTTACTATAATGCTTCTACTAACTTATACTTAATATATTAATTACTTTATTAGCTATATAATATTAACTCTTTATAAGATTACTATTTAGATTTATATATTATCTACTACTATTAGTAATATATTAACTATTAACCTAGCTACTTATAATACTCTTAAAGCCCTACTTTATACTATATAGAAAGGCTAGTAGTTTATTAATATTAAGGCTATTTTAAAGAAAGGTAATTAAGGCTATACCTCTTAGATTACTAATAAGGGGTTATTTATTTATAAGATTTTACTTAATAGTATAAGGGGTAGTATCTATTAAGTCTACTAATGCTATAATAAAGTAAAGACTTTTAATTAACTATTTAATACTATTTCTACTTCTACTACTATTAAATATCTTAAAAATAATTACTCTATCTTCTGAGATTACTATAAGGCTAGTTATCTATCTCCTAATAACTCTAATAACCTTAAGCCTCTATCTAAGTGCCTCTAACTTATCTCTATTACTATACCTAAGTAGAAGACTATTTAGATTAAAAAACTTACTATTAGCTTCTTTATTAATATAAGTAACCTTCTTATAACATTTAGTAATTAATATATATAGTATATATTTAGCCTTTTTAACCTTAATATTAATACCTAGATATATTAGTTAAAAACTAACTAGAAGGATTAATTTTAATAACTTTATATATCTAAGAAGGTATAGATTAAGGTAGAGATATAGATAGTATTTATAAAAGTTTATATATCTTTTAACCTATAAACCTCACCTAACTAATATATAATTATTACTATCTTTAGCTACTTTATTAACTAATTAAGTAAATAGATATAGTACTTCTTAGGTCTCTATTACTAGTTTAATGCTTACTCTAGTGAGAATATTACTACTATAATATATATAGTTATAAAAAACTAATAACTACTTAATAAGATTAATATTACTATCTCTAATAACATTAGTATTAATAGCACTTATATTAAGGTTCTATATCTATCTATTTCACTTTTATATACTAAAATAGATACTTAGTATTACTAACTTTAATACTATAGCTATATCTTTAACTTTATTAGTTATACTATAATTTATAAGGTTAATAAGGAGGTATTTAAGTAAGAGTCTAACTATCTTATTAATACTAATAGGATTAAAGAGGATATAGCTTAGTAGAGGATTATAAGACTTATTAGTAAGCTTTAGAATATTATTAAGTATATTAGATTATTACTATAACGCTTTAAGGCTTTCTTATCTATTAGTAATAAGGCTAATAATAGTGATAATATCTTTACTCTATAGGAGGAGTTATTATAAAAGCTAAATTTAATATTAAGTAATATTACTTAATAGAACTTAATATATAATATAATCTACTACGCTTTACTTAAGTATAGCTAGATTAATAGTTATATATACTATATTATAAGCTTTAAGTATAAGTCTAATTATATTCTTAATAAGGATATCTTTACTAATAAGGATTAATAAGTCTTTACTAAGTTAAATAAAGTTCTTAAGCCTCTCTATAAATAGATTAAGTAATATAAGGGCTAAGGTAAGGGTAATAAGTATAGTTAACTCTAGGAGGTTTTAATAAGCTTTAAGTACTTCTTAGATTAACTTAAGGATTAGTATAAGTTTTATAATACCCCTACTTCTGAAGAGATTAATCTTATAGCTATATAAGTATCTTAAAGTCTCTTATTATAGCTATCTTAATTAATAAGGATATTATATTAATCTAATAGAGCGCTAGCCTTATAAACCCTATTAATTAATAATATCCTAATTTATATATAGTTAGACTATATTATTACTTTACTATACCCCCCTTAGGTTACTAATTTTAACTCTTATACGTTTATATACCTATTAATTATTAATAGCTAGTAAGTACTTAATAATTACTATAAGAAGTTTAGAGAGTCTCCTCTCTATGCTATAATAGTAATATTATATTTTAATAGGGGTTTATAATAGCTTAAGAAGCATTAGGACTTTCTAGAGACTTATAAGTAGCTCTAAACTACTTAGGATAGTCTTTAAGATTACTAAGAGTAATAATATACTAAGATAGCTACTTATACTAATAATTTAGTCTATTTAAAGTCTCTATAAGGGTTTTTTACCCTAATTATAATTCTTCTAAGGTTTAAAAACTCTAATTATTATTAATAGCTAAATAGTAGCTTTTATAATACTACTATTAATAAAGTTAATAAGCTTAAGTAGTATTTTACCCTCTTAATTACTTAGCCTATTAATAATCTTATTTTATAGTAGATTTTATATTAATAAACCTTCTTAACGCTTAATAAGTTTACTCTTAATATCTTTACTATCTTAGTGATAATAACTAACTATAAGAAGGTATTTAGCTTTACTAAACTAATACTAATATTATAGAGGTTTTTAATAAAGCTATTACTACTTAAAGAGATATAATACCTCTAGAACTAGGCTTAAAGTAGTAGTATTATTATTAGTAGCTATTACTTTAAGTAGAAGGGTTAATAGAGGCTAGGATAACTTTAGAATACTAAATAGGTATATTTCTAACGTATTAAGATATTATAAGAGCTTTACTAATTTCTTAAATAGGTAATTTAGTTAATCTTAAGTTAAGCTAGTTAATTTAAGTAAGCTTCTCGTGAAAATTCAGTTAATTAATTAAGCTAGACCCTCAGGCTTAGCTTAATTAATTAGGATACAGCGCTGTGCTTATGCGAAAGACAGCTGCTTTCAAGTGGAGTGTAGAACACGCCTTAGCAAGCTGGGATGCCGGTATTGTTGGAATTTCGCTTCAACCTGAATTGTGCTGAATGTGATTAGGTCTACTTGTCACGAAATGGTTATACGCTGTTGAATGTTCATATCGGACGAACGAACCTGTCACACCCGAGGAGAAGCAGGTCTTGGACAGCGTCAGGCAGCTCTTGAGCGAAGTTGACAGCCAGAAATCTCAACACTTGTCGCTTGCTGCAGAGCTGGCCCGTATGTGGGCTAGTATCTACGACGACACGTGGGTTTGGGGAGGTAAGAATGCAATGCTACCGGATCAGCTTCAGATACCTGACCGAAGACGTCACAGTTGCACCACGGATCGGCTGGGTTCTCCGGGAACTTGCCAATATGTATGAAACTGGCATCGTTGCTGTATGAGCATCTTGGAGGATTTTGACCGGCAAAAGGCTTGTAAGTGCTTCACAGGCCCTGGCTTCTGGAGATCTCTCATCCCTCATCCCACATCAAACCCCTGGCTGTTTTCTTAGTGCGGGCTGGGAAAATTTCCCCTTTCAGAATATGGAGCACGAAAGCGGAGACCCAAACCAGCGATACCCATCCACATCAAGATGTTTCCTGATGCCTCGGAATCCGTCGAGAACACCGATGTTTTTCTTAAATACATGTGAAATGTTGTCTGCCAATCAAGGTTTTTGCTTTGCCAATCGTCCACGCTTCAGGAACTTCATCAGACAATGCTGCTTCCATCAACCAAATATTCCGTCACAGAACCATTACTATTGGGTTCATGTGTCGTCGCTGCACTTCTCCCGCTTCTTCTCCTGTTAAAACTGATACCACGTCGACACGATGACATCCCCTACATCAACCCCCCTCCCGTCTTGGACCTTTTTGGCCAAAAGACGAAGAAACACTTCACCTCCAACGCCGGGAAGCTCATGAAGAGCGGGCGAAAGCTCTTTCAGGGGAAGCCGTATAGGATGTTTACTGACCTCGGCGAGCTTGTCGTTCTTCCCTCAAAGTACATTGATGATTTCCGGAATGAGCCGGGCTTGAGCTTCATGACGGCTTTCATCGACAACTTCCACCCTTCATTGCCAGGATTCGAAGGCTTCGCGTTCGACGGCCGCCCAGACGAGCTTCTTCATAGGACCATCAACAAGAGACTCACAAAACTCCTAAGTAAGCCATGCCCTCCGTGTCCAGCAATCCTGATCTAAAACATTGCACAAGACCAGATTACTTCACCATTGGCGGCAGAGGCGAATTTCGCGACCAATCTCGTCCTCGGAAAATCAAACGGTAAGTCTCATCTTGAAAGCAAGGCCCTCTCCCTGGGCTAAGTGTGAAAAGAATGGCAGGAAATTCTTCTTAAAGACGCCACACTGGAACTCGTCGCCCGCTTGTCCTCACGTGTTTTCCTCGGAGGAGAGCTTTGCCGGAATCAAAAATGGCTCGACATCTCCAAGTCCTACAGCGTCAACATCTTTCTTTGTGGAGAGCTACTGCGCCAATATCCTCATTTTCTCAGGCATGCCGCATGCTACTTCATTCCCGAATGTCAGCTGCTGAGGAAGCAAGTCGCTGATGCCCGGCAATTGATGACGCCAATTTTGCAAAAGCGACGAGATGAACGGCGAATCGCCAAGACGAAGGGGAAGTCTGGGCCAGTGTATAACGATGTAATGCAATGGGTCGAGGAAGAAAGCAAGGGGAGCTCCTACGACCCTGTTGGAGCCCAGCTCGGGTTCTCTGTCGTCGCGATGCACACCACGACAGATCTGGCGACTGAGACCATGTGCCGGCTCATTCAACGCCCGCAGCTGATACAGGATCTGCGCGAAGAGATTGAAGGTGTGTTGGTGAAGGAAGGCTGGACCAAGACGGCTCTTTTCCAGATGAAGCTACTCGATAGCGTTCTCAAGGAAGCGCAGAGGCTGAAGCCTACGACTTCGGGTGAGTTGACTCCCAGCATGCAATGGGCTTTCTAATACTGACTACTCAAAGCGACAATGAATCGGACAGCCATAAAGCGCGTCACGCTCCCCAGCGGCCTGGTTCTTGAGAAGGGTGATCGCTGCATGGCAGATCTCGGTTCCATGGTGGATCCTGAAGTCTATGAGAATCCAGAGGTTTTCGACGGGTATCGGTACTTGCGCATGCGTGAAGACCCGAAGCTCGAGAGCAAAGCCCATCTCGTTAGTACCTCGTCGATTCATTTGGGTTTCGGCCATGGGAAGCATGCTTGTCCTGGAAGGTTCTTTGCCTCGAACGAAGTCAAGATTCTTCTGTGCCATTTGCTGTATAAGTACGAATGGGAGATTGACAGCGCGTACGAGCACAAGATCAGGGAGTTTGGAATCGGTCTGTCTTCTGGCGATGGCCTGAAGGTGTCTTTCAGGAGACGAGAGAACTTGGCTGTTGACATCGATAACCTCTGATAGCCTAAACCGGAAAGACAAGGAGAGGGGTTGCCCGTCTCAATTGGACTACTCAAGAAGTACAAACGGGCATTTAAGTATTGATATAGACCGAATTTTCATGAGTAGACATCGCATGACAAACTTATGAGAACCATTAGTATGACTTCTCCTCGTGAGCCATGATGTGGGAATATTCAAGTGTTACGTTATTCCACGCGAAGGAATTTCTTCATTGATGAGGTAACACGATGGGAAATGGACGGAGAAGGTCAACTTAGCTTCACTTCTCTCTGTGTTTGGCCGTAGGTAGTGCCTTCGGATCGGCCTTTGGGGGTATCATCACTAAAGGGATACCAGCCCCTCGGGTCAAACACAATGCCATTAGCTGTTGGACGACGAGCTTTTACGAATGTTGAAAGTATCTCACTGGACTGTGCTCAAATGTTTCGCCACGGCTAGGTAAGATCCAGACAGAGAGGTCAGGCTCATCGCCAGGGCTGCATGTACAATGCTCCGAAACTGCTAGGTTGGTGTCAAGTGTATCTGATTTCAGCGAATATGAGATGACGGGATGCTGATTGAGATAGTGATACGGAGCGAGGAGGAATCCGTCACCCTTTCGGACATCAACGGTCGACCTGGTCCGGAGCGCTCCGTCTCCGCGATGACCGCAGCTAATGTTCAGATGACAGCATCAGCAGGGACAGGTAGGCAAAGAGAACCTCCTTGGTCAGGGCCAGCAACCAAGGTTCCAACTATACCGAAAAGACACAAAGTCAGAGACACAATTAATGACTCAAAATCATAATCTCATTCAAGGGCCAACGCCCAGCCTATCCTCTGAACGCCATCTATCATGCCCAAGAGGTCGCTTGTGTACCTCGGAAGACGTCGAGAAATAACCACTAAAACAGGACTCCCAGTTACGACGCGTTCGCGCTCACGTCGTTGAAAATCTTCTTCTTGATATCCATCGCAACCAGACCCGTCTTCTCCTGCATGGCCACAGCGTTGGTATCCTTGACAAGCTTCTCAACCAGTCCGTCCACCTTCTTGCCGCCCGTGCCCATGGCGTTCATCGACGACGCACTCCGTCCTTGCCGAGAAACCTGCGTCGTGGCTTCCTTGATCTTGGAGGCGAGATCGAGCATCTGCTTGTTTCCGTAGTCGCGGTTCGTGAAGAGTGGGCTCTGGCTCAGCGTCTGCACCCAGTACTTGTGCCACAACAGCTCCAGCAGGTGCGAGTCGAGCGTGCTCTTGAAATGCGACACCTCCAGACTGTAATACTTGCTCGCGTGGGCGCCAAACTCTGCCGCCTTGGCCAGGGGAACCTCCTGCCAGCCGTCACTCGTGACGCCGCCGCCGCCGCCGCTGCTGCTCTCCTTCTCCTTGACATAGTTCTCGGGGTACGTGCGGAAGGCGCCGATCTCGACCTTGCCGGCGTTGATGGTGCGGTCGGGGTCGATGACGACGGCGAGGAAGGGCTCCTGGAATTGCTGCTGCAGGGCCTGGGTGCTGACATCGATGCCGGAGAGCCAGCAGCCGTAGCCCGGGTGGGAGTGGTACCAGCCGACGACGTTCTCCATGCGGCCCTGCTCGCGGCACAGGGTGAGGTAGTCGACCATGTACTCCTCGGCGTCGCCCTGGGCGTTAACGCGCGTCTCGGTTCCCTCGACGGGTAGTCGGAAGGCATCTGTGACGATGAAGGTGTCGCCGTTGACGTACCCTTGCATCAGCCCCATCACCTCGAGGTTGCCGCCGGACCGGGCGTGCATGACCATCTTGATGAGCGCGACGGCGCTGATGCGGACGTTCTTGAAGTGGTTCGGGTTCTGGGCCCACGGGCGGGCGGCCATGGCTGTCTTCTGGGCATCGGTGTCGAGGTCATAGAGGGCGTCGCGTTTGGGGTCGACCAACTTGACGTTGTTGTCGAGCTCTGCGGGCGGCGGTTAGCACGAGACGACTGGTGCAATGGATCGGGGGGCAATCGGAAAGGACTTACCCCACGACTTGAGAGCTGTCTCCATATTGGCTGCTCAAACTGCGTGAGCAGGATTTGTTTGATGGAGTTGACGATTGGAGAGAAAGGTTGAAGATGGAAGGCGGCAACAGGTATCTTACCCCACCATTCAGGTGCCTGCCTCACGTCAAAGCTTATCTGTATCGATAAGATAAAGCTCTAAGCACCTGGAAGGTTCACTTATGTAATCCCCATCCCGGCGGAGAAAGTCCGGGGTTTTCATCCAAGTGGGTCACTCCTCCATTCGTGTTGCGACCGGTGCTCAATTGAACTCTCGTCGACGACCACCTATCAACACCACTAATAGTATCATGAACACAACCTCAAAACGCCAAGATGCAAAGTTTCAACACAGAAGGCTTATCAGAGACAAGTCTTTTAGTCACGTGATGGCACACTGCTTGGCAGCATCATCAGCGGGCAGTGCCTTTCGGGCGTCCCCGACCTTGAGGCCAGCGCTAACATGATTCGGCTCGTCGCATTTCCAGGAAAAACTCAAACATCAGCGTGTTGTCGCGATGATAGCCATTCGAGGTACATTTGAACTCTTGGCTCGGACTCTGAGTCTTTGCTCTCAAAAAAGAAAGTCGATTCGAGGACTTTTTGTGGGTGTCTGATGGAACCGCGTGGGCGGGAGATGGCCGAACACCGTTCATCTTCCACGCGTCGCTCAGCGGGTCTTGCATCGACATGATGAACGGTTCGATGCGACGCGCGGGGGTGGATGAAAATCACTTGGAAGAAGCGATCCTCGAGATATGCGAGAACCAGTATTGCCGGATTCGCGGTTTCCAAGACGGGAAAGACGCACAACCCTGGCAGATCACTGGGCGACTAGCAGCTCTTGGCTTCAGATCCTTGGGGGATCTGGATCTTGAGGCTCAAGCAAACGACAAACGTCATGGCATCTCCCGGATATCTTCATTCCCGAAATATTTCTGCGTACGCAATCAATTGCGTCGAACTCCGGTCCA